TCATTTAAAGGACTAAATCTCTAATTTTTCCCCTTTCAGAACAAGTGCAGTTTTAACAGGCATAGCCTTTGAGTAGCATTTCCAAATCAGATGTTTAGGGATTATGTAAATGGAGTTCTATATAGCTACTGATAATAAAGTATGTGCACATGCATAGATACAAATAAACTATTATAAGTTGCATACAAGAATATTATATTTAAAATTATTATATAGCTAGTAATAATCAAGTATGTGCACATTCATAGATACAAATAAACTATTATAAGTTGCATACAAGAATATTATATTATAATTGTAATATTTATAATTGTAAGTTATATAATATGCATATCATGTTTTATAAATTTGATCATTGGCAAAAATGAACAATATAATTATAAATTTGTACTTAAATATGAATCAATATAATATAATCGTTTTTGTTATGAAGCCAACAGTTGGTTCCATAGTGGAGTCAACCTTCTATATACAACAAATAAACCTACCAAATTCTCTTATTACTTAAATAACACTAATATAATTTTATTAATAGTATAAGTTTATTTGTTGTATATAGAAGGTTGGCTCCAGTATGAATTCAACTGTTAGCTTTATAGCAAAATCGATAATATAACATAAAATGTAATGAATAATGTAGTTTCTACAAATTTTCAATTTTCAAGTATGTGAACAATGTGGAAAGAGAAAGTAAAATTCATTTATGGTTACATTTAGGTCACTACTTAGAATTAAGGTCTTACATAAAATTTGATTAAGAAAATATTAAGCTATATGTAATACTTATTTAGATTTCAAAAGGTGAAGGATATCATTAGCTTGATAAAAAAAAAAGGAAAAAAAAATCTAAGATCTTACTTGTTTTTTGGTGGTGTTAGTTTTGTCATGAGATGTACTTTACCTTTGATATATTATAAAAATTCTATATTTTTTAGAAAACAATTGTTGGAACTTCAATATTATATAAATCTTTTGTTTGAGGTAAAAAGAAAAAAAAAATTAGGGTACTATTCTTGTGTTTTTGCCTCATGGCCTTATAATGTGTAGGATCGTCAGTGCTTTTCAAAACGACACATATTATGAAGAGGATGAAAGAAGTACTATATATTGCAATTGGCAATAAGCATAGTAGAACTAATTCGGCAACTGCATAATAACTTCAAACTAATAATAGTCAAATAATTAAACCACTTAATTAATCGCATTGTAATCACCAACCTAAACTTTTCTACAACGGAGTGAAATTATTGGTGTTGGTTGTAAAAATGTTTTTTTTTTTCTTTTT